TTATATCACACCAAAATTATTATGAACATCATTTAAAACACTTTAAAGAAGGAATTGAAGCGTTTAACACCTTAATCATTATTTAATTGTACATCATCGTATTGGTAGCAAATAAGCATAATAATGGTGTCAATTTTAGTGTTATATGAAATTTTTCTTAGGTATATTATATTCCAACAAACACTCCAAACATTTTATTTTAAGCTTCCAACCTTGGGAGTATTCATTCTCTCCAAGAATATGTGTCCTATTCTAGTTAAATAGTGATTGTGCCTACAAAAAATACTCTAGCACCCAAGTCAACCAAGTGCATCAACACGGTAACAAATGAACGTAATTAATATATCTCGTAAAATGTGTTATTTATACTATTGTTCATGGACCCTACCTGAATAGGTCTAGGTCACGTAACCTAATTACCTCTTAATTTTAAATTATCATAGTTAATTATTGATCATTCGACTCTAACTTGTAAATTATTGTGACTAATAGGTAATTGGCATGATCTTGTTTTGATCAAATAGGTATAGACCAAATATATGTCAGACTTAGTAGACTAACATATATTTGGTCATAAACAAGTTGCATATGACCAAGAAATACTTGGACATATACAATACATAAATTTTAAAGTAGATGTAATACAAATTTCTTTACCATCTTAACATAAGTCGTCTAATGTCAAAGTTTGTTTTTATCCATAAATTTTTACTATAATTTTAAGATGACAACAAAGTAAGATAAATTATACATAATTTATTATGTTACACTAATCAATTTCTTTTATTTATAAGCCAGAGATGCATAGTTTATACAACTTAAACAAATAATCAATGAGCGTGTTAAGAATGTTCTTAACATATTCAATCACCTTGGTAGTTGGTAGTTTATGAACTCATGGTAAATGGTTTCTCACAGTCTTTGTGTGCCAATTCATTTGATCACAAACTTGTTCTTTTAGAATTTTCACTTATTCTAATATTGTTTTAACAATCTTTAACTCTCTTTTTTTAATATATATATCTAGAGTTTAAGTATTATGGCTTATGAGTTAAGAAATAAGGTTTATACTTTAAACTTTAGGCTTAGTGGGTAGGGTTAAGAGTTAAAGTTGAGGATATAGAGTTTAGAATTCTTCCAACTTATAATATATTTTAATTCATTATCATCATTCTAAGTTACTCATCTTATAACTCTTATTAACTAGTATTATGTTAGTTATCTAGAAGAATAATGTAGGATTGAACAATGTAAGAACAAAAGAAATTAGTGGTTTGGTTATGAATTTTGGAATTCATATTCCTAAATGCCCCAATGAACACTCAATGGAATCATTTATGGGATCAAGGTTCTTTGTTTGGCCACACATAGGTTAGAAATATAACTACTAATATCATTTCTCACTTTTCATTTTCCTATTTTACAATGTTTATTATGTATTTTTATTAAAAAATATATTAATCCTTGTAGACACTCCACTTTTAAAAAAAAAAATTGTTCACAAAAAATATTTATTATGTATTTTTATTAAAAAAAGATATTAATCTTTATAAGACACTCCACACATTATGATATTTTAAAAATTATTCTGTTTTCTTCCATAAAATTTTTTATCACAATTTTTATAAAAAAATCATATTAAGAATATAACAAATAAAATATAAAGATTCACCCTTCATATTTTTAGACACACCAGAAATTGTAATCACATTTATCATATCAAATAAAGTTTATTTTTTCTTTCAGCTACATTAAGCCGCAGACTTATTGAAGTGCTCTTTCATAAATAATACCGTGACTTTTAAAAGAAAATTACAAACATATATTGGAAAAATGATAACTTAGTTTAAGATTGGAAAATTCATAAAATAAAATATAAAGGAAAAAAAAGGAGATATGGTTTAAAATTGGAAAGAGAAGAGAGAAAGAAGATAACTTGGTTATATAAAAGGAATATTTCCTAGATACTAATATTTTAAATCATATATTGTGTGTTGATGTAAATTAGTCAAATCGACGTTCTCTTAACTACGTCAAATAATTTTTGGGTTAAATATGTTTTTAGTCCCTAAATTATTGGCTGTTTCTGGTTTTCGTCCCTGTTTCAAAGTAAGGTACAATTTGGTCCTCATTTTGTTCGAAACATTCGTTTTAGTCATCGAAAGCTAAACACTCTTTAAAAAATTTGGTCCTCATTTAGCAATAAATGAGGACTAAAACCAAAATTCCGAGGACTAAAACGAATTTTTCGATAATAATGAGGACCAAATTGTACCTTACTTTTAAATATGGACGAAAACTATAAACGGCCAATAGTTTAGGGACTAAAAACATATTTAACTCATAATTTTTTTAAAAAAATTATATTGACCCTATTTTATTTAAGATGAAGATTAAACTGAGAACACAAAATTAAATAACCATGTTGAATAATTCCGACAAAAACAAAAAAAAAAGAAACCTCTATAATTTAATAAATTATTAATTAGTACAATTTTATTTACATATTGTATTGCACTGTCTATTTCACTTATTTTTAGAAATTATTTGTGAAATTCTATTTAAAGCATACTTTAACATTAATCAGCATCATCTTTCCAACAAATTTTGAAAAAATGTTTTAAATTTTATTTAACTTTCTCGGGAAAAGTGGCATATTTCTAAAAGATTGTAAAAATTGAGTACGTTATCATTATTGGACTTGCTTTATTCTTGAACCAATTAGGATGTTTTCTTTTCTTCGTTCATATGCTTAAATTGTGGAATGTATTTGGACTTTAAAATGACTGCATACGTTTAGGCGATATAGATAGATACAAAGATCAATGTCTACATTCATTCTATTTTCTTTATGTTTTTTCTTTCTCAGGAGCATAAATATTTAATTGACCATAAAACTTGTCATTTTCACATCAATTAATGGGGCCATTATAAGCAACTTATTCTATAATGCTTTAGTCCTTTTAATATTGTTTTGCAAAATATATGGTTTTCTCCTATCATTAAATTCACATTTAGTGCTGCATATGTTTTAAAACAATTAGGATCATTTTAAAATGTTACCCGAAGATTAAAAGAATTATGAATTCTAGAAAAACTATAGATTGCAACTATCTTTTTAATAGTCGTTGAGCACTAATGTAGAATTATAATAAAAATACATATATACAGAATTAAACTATTCATTTTTTATTTTACTGAAAGAAATGATTTTTTAAGACTAAACTTCGTTAATGTTTGGTCTCCTAAAAAATAATATTCAATGAGCATGAACGTAGAGAAAAACAGCATTTTTGTTATCATAGACGGACAAGATTTTAAAAAACAATGACATTTGATGACAGCGTTGGCGGTCCAGTTATCTGATGACTGAACAAAAAATGTTATCAGAAAACAAAAAACTCATGAACTACAAAATTTGTATTAAAAAACTAAAATATCAGAAAAAAAATGAAACAACAATGAGAGAATAAATATAAAAGAGCCTAAGGTCTGTCATATACACTTGGAGGAAAAGTATCAAACTTTGTGTTGGAAAATAATCTGACAACTTTGTGGAGTTGTTTTGTTTGCAGAGAAGAAAAAATGCCGTTGAAGTTGTTGGAGGCAACAGTGTCGAGTTTTGATGGTGTTTTTGAGAAGTTCCGATCAGAGGCTGCAGAAAACAAGGCGAATCTCATCCTTTTCTTGGCTGACAAAGACCCTGCTACCTCTCTCAGCTGGTGCCCTGGTATCTATATACCTATCATGCTATCCATGCATGCTCTTTTTCTTCTTTCTCTTGCATGTTCAAATCTGATTCTTTTTACTCCAAAACTTATGATTTAATAGCTACTTCAGCTTCTGAATTTGATGACTGGATGCACTAAATGCATTTTATTTCATGGAGCGTTTGAAAATATCAATGGAAATTCTTTGCCAATATAGCACAAAACATTGACTTGGATTTCATTGGAGAAAGAATCTTTTCTGTCAATATTGCAGAAAACTTATAAGATATTGGTTAACTAGTGAGAAGAGCTTCTGATAGATTGTTGTTCTGTATGTAGAATGATATTTGTACCTATTAGCATATCTCTGGATAACTTAGATCTCTAACTTTGATGACGCTTAGTGTAAATTACCAATTAAAGTATTATATTAGACAAGAAAAAGGATTAAGATTGATGTTGATTACAATTTTTTTATCATATTGTTAGAGAAGCATGACTAGTTTAATCAGAACTGTGATGTACACCTTTTCCTTCTTAGATTGTGTGAGAGCAGAACCTGTGATCTACAAGAAGCTGGAGGCGTCATCTGATGACATTGCACTTTTGAGAGCTTATGTTGGAGATAGACCAACATGGAGGAACCCCAAGCATCCATGGAGGGTGGAACCTAGGTTCAAGCTCACTGGGGTGCCAACATTGATCCGTTGGGACAATGACACGATCAAAGGTCGCCTAGAAGATCACGAAGCTCATCTAGAAAACAAAATTGAAACTCTTGTTGAAAAGTGACAAACGATTCACGGTGCATGGTTTTAGTTGGTACTGCATATAGTTTAAACAATGTGTGATGTACTCATATCAGCAATTTATCCCTCTCATACTTTATAAACTTGCTGCTAAAGCATATAATAAAAGGTGATAAGGGATGGCTATAAACGAGGGCAGGTTCTTTTAGCTTATTTTGTGGCTTTGAGCACTACAAATTTACTGGTTAGTCCAAGGTAATGTTACCTATAGTGTTTTTGCAGACTGAAAATGCCAGTTAAACGAATTTTGATTCAGAATTCATACAGTTCGTAGTTCATAACGCATAATTGAGTGAAGTCCGTATGTTAGAGAGACAACCGATACATAAATCTGCCTTTTCTTACTTTGTACAGAGGGCCTAAATATCACTGTTTGACTGTTATACCGCTCTTTCTGTTTCAGCCTTCATTCATAATTAACATATATTACATGTCAAGGTATAAGAATCCTCACTTTTGTAAAAAGCCTGAAAAGCCTAATTTTAAATGCCATGCTTGTTGACAAAAATTCAGACCAAATTACAAGGTGGACAATTTCAATCCTAAATTACAAGGTGGGCAAAATTAAAAAAAAATAAGTTAATGATTGCAGTTTAATATAAACTAACCAGATACAGATATACATAGTGACAAAAATCATCTCCTCAAGCTGGCCATTTCGCCTTATGTCTGCTATTATACATAACCGACTGCGTTTCCATTCTAGACAAGAAATCCAACTGCCAATCAACAAAGAAATGCCTTATGGGAAGTGGATCACCAAACCAATATTTCAAACGGATGAAAGAAAAATTTTAGGAAATGTTAGGCTGCACAAGATGGTTCAAGTTAAAAAATTCTCCACAACTTTTATCTACAACCTTTAATTTCTCCCAAAGGAATCAGAATAAGGTTAAAGTATCAAGAATATTGAATAAAGTGAACATGTGATTCGGGAGGGAGCAAGGCAAGGCTCCTCAAGTGCACGATGATGTAGAATATTATAACCGATTAAATTTAGGTCATATCCTTACCACAACTTTCTCTTTCAGATATAGTATTAGAATTTAGCAGTCACTCTTAGTTTAGTAGTCACCCTTAGTAAGTATTAAGAACACAAACCCTGAATGACGGCATAGGTCCAGTAGCGGCTATATTGCATGGATACCAGTACAATACCAATATCCAACATATCAAATGAAAACTTTTCTTGTTCTAAAAGACGAGAATAGTACTAAACATCATTTGGTCAAGATTAGAAAAATACAACTTTAAGTGGTTTACGTGACCACTAACTTTTAATCTTAATCATCCATGTCCATGTGTACAAATAAGATGTATGGTTTTCATAGAATAGTTTTCACTTGTTCTTCCCTCTTTCTGTGTATGTTTATATATATGTATGTGTGTGTATATGTATATATATCAATCTATATTTTAAAAGATACAAATTATTCTAAATAGCAAATTATTAGGATTAAAAATATTCTCAATATCACCATAATAATTAAGAAAAAAAAATCAAAATCTTCCTATTCATTACAACATATTTTTATTTCCTTTAATATATTTTATTATTACAAAGAGAGATAAGGAAAATGTAATTGGTGATTGCATTCAATTAAATAATTCATTATTTTCATTCAAGTATACATTTTATGATAAATATTTAATAGAAAAAAAAGCTACATTGTTGTGAAAACAACTATCATAAAAGAAAGTATTCCTTACATCTAATTTTAACCGAAAAACTATAAAAAAAAAATTGAGGGTGAGGGATCTAACTAGTACCCAAGACATACTACCCATTCTTCAATCTGCATGCACATACCCTTTTCAAATAATTTTTACTTGTGAAGAGTACAACTCACAAAGAAGTATGTTATTGTCATCAGCTAGTTATGACTAAAAGAACAAATTTATTTACGCTATCAAATACTATTTTTATAAAGAAAAAATATTACTGGTATCTTGAATAATTAAATATATATCAATAAGCCAGCATTACAATTTATTAGAACCCGAACTATCACTGTTTCCACTAAATTTCTATCATCCACCTTAAGTTAAAGTCTTAAATAAGTACAAAACTCTTACCTATATACACAATGACCTGCCATCAACTTCGAACATTTGAAGGCGTTGTGGCCAACTTCAAGCTGATATCATCATAAGGTGCATCTTGTTTTACATCAAGAAGTCTATTAGTCTGTAAAACCTGTAATTCCACTTTCACCTCAGTCACAAGAATAGAAGGCATGCGTGCTTTTGAAAAAAAAAAAAAAGCATTATGTGTAGGACTTGAATTCATCTGATATAAAAATATATATCCCTTAATTTTACAATCAAATAGACTACACATTTTTCTATCAGATATTAACAGAACTAAATCTGGAAGCACTAAGTAGAATTCAAATATATAACTATGTTGCTCAAGAAAATGAATAGTCCAAACTTAAGTATAGGGATTTTATCCAATGAGATAGCAATATTTAAAGGAGAGAGATAAATAACATCAAGGATAACACACTTTTACACCCACACACGTGTATATCACATACTAATCATTAAAAACAACATACAAGCAGCAATATGACGAGTTTTCCCTTCCAAGATCCTTTTCAAGCTAAGAGAAAATAGATCTCTAATAGGTTTCTGATAGGTTTGGTATTGTATATAAGAGAAGGAATAAATAAGTTGTGTGCCAGCTGCATCTGAACTATTTAAATAGTTTAGGGACAATTTTGAGGGGAAGGGGAAGGTTCTTCAAAATTGGGGTGATTGGATCAAGTCTTTCCAAACACACAATTCACATTCTAATCATTAGAAGCATACATGCAAACACCAAATATTCACATTCTTTGGACATAAATGAAGCTTCTTTGAATGGAAATGTTTCAACCCACCAATACTTCAAAGAACATACGAGCAGCAATATGCCGTGTTTTCCCTTCTAAAATCTTGTTCAAGCTGAGATCAGAGAGATCTCCAGTAGAGCCCTCCGAAATAGGGGTGATTGCAGGGTCCTCCAAAATTGGGGTGATCGGATTAAGTCTTTTCAAATATTCAGCTGTATACCTGGAATTACATATGCGAAGAATACTGGCTAAGTTCAGACGCTACAGAACTAAAATGAAGAAAATAGTACGAAAAGCAAAAGGGCATAAACAACTTATAAATGGTATATATGCACATTCTAACTTCCAGAAAAAAAAAATCCACACACATTAAGAATATGACTTTAATTACTAAGATTTCTTTAAGGATTTCCTCACCTATCACCACATCATTACATTCTTACCATAACATAATTACCACACTAATCTGATGCTTAATATTTCACTCTATTGTATCTAATGACATATTGGATGAACAATCATTTGGGCCCAAGGAAGAGGAAGAAAGTGAGGTAACAGTCCCTGTGGATAGAATACTGAACAAATTCACAATGTGCAAGTCCCTAGGTTATATGCATAAATATAAACAATTAAAAATACCCAGAAATATATTAAATTTGGAAAAGCACAACCTAAACATATCACAATTGCATGCTTGAGCAAAAAAAATCACAATAATGATATTTCAAAAGACTATCCTATAAACCATTTTATTGGTGCGTTACTATTAACTATAATTTCATTAACTTTAATTGTTGATTAGAAACAATTAAAATAGTTGTACTTGACGTCAAGAGTTGAGGTAATTGGATAACTGCTCTCTATAAGCTAACATAAAAAATATTATAAACTGTCTCAAAAAATTGCATTGCATGTTATAAACAGCTTGAACAAAATCATGCATATTCCACGAAAGTGTATAGAGAAAATGGATAGGTACTTGGTCCTTTCAGACAATGTCATGTTACTTCCACTTGTACCTTGTGAACCTGCAAAATAACCAGTGTTAACCATAAATCTGATTCTGATGATATAGTAGAAATTGGATATCCAGTATCATATAATACAGGCAATGCCAACAATAAATAAGTAATAAAAGGGTATTTGACAGAAAAATCAAATTCGATATGACATTTAGAACCTACTGGCTGGTGTGTTGTTGCCCAGATTCAGAAACCAAAACTCCTACAAAAATAAGTTTAACAAATTATTAGATTCAATGCTTCAATTAAACCACACTAAGAGCATTAATAGTAAGATTACTAGAAGCAATTTTCACACTCCAGAACAAGAATGGAATCCACAGATGGTGAAAAAAGACTAGGCAGCGAGAACAGGCAAGTACATATAAAAAATTGTTGCAAATAGACGTAAATGAGTGAAGTCGTTCCTATTGCTATTGCTACTAGCTCAAAAATATGATCAGAAGTCAACTCGTCAAGCAAGTGTTTTAATTAAAAAGAGCATTAAGTCCTAAAATATTTAAAAACTGATGCTTGACAAGTAAATATCTCTGGAAGAATCAAAACTATATCACACATACAACAATATCTGTTTCAAGGGATTTAGAAGTTACAGTTTTATATTAATCCTACTCCCATATTCCTTCTACTAAAGGAAAATCAGAATACATGCTTTTAACTGAAAGGAAATATGTGATTAACTAAGACTGACTATACGAAAGCATACATAATAAAACATAAAATCTTACATCTGTTGCAGCAGAATTGATCACGTGATGCATATCTGAATATGGAGATTGCATTGTCTCTGATCCATAAGCACTAGGTGATGCTGCTAAATCTAGTGTCGGCATTCTCTCAGATGCAATATTTGTTCCCAAAGAAGTAACTGATAGGTTACGAAGTGAAGTCATAGTCAAGTCATCTCTTCTACCAGGGCTCGTGTAGTCATCCTCAACCACATTGTGTGCTTGGAAGGTGGGAGGGGGAGTGACAGCAACATTTCGAGCATGTTCAACTTCTGTATCAAATGCAGTAACAGGCGATGTAGCAGTTATTGTCTCTTCAGTAACTTGGTTAGTAGCACCTATTGGCTCTTCAGAGGTTTGGTTTGTAGCAGCTACTTGCTCCACTTGGGGTTGGTTAGTAGGAGCTACAGAGTCTGCAGGGGGCTGGTTAGTAGGAGCTATTGGCTCTTCGGAGACTTGGTCGGTTGGAGAAAGAGTTTCAGCCATTCCAACATCAGCATGATCTTCCTCAGAGATGACCAAATGAGGTTTTGAACGTATATATTCACCAGTGCATATGTCCAAAAGATTCTTGTCAACTCCTGAACACAGGGACACATTTTCAGATCACGTGTTGAAAAAAGTACAAGGTACCACACAATCAGCAAAATAACATACAGACATCAGCCTACCAGTTAACAAGGGCTGGTAAAACATGTTCTCTTTTCTCCGACTATTGTTCAATTTCCATATACCCAAGCTAGAGGAAGGAGCTTCCCTTCTTTTCCTCATTATATCACGTGGATTATTAAGTGCACTCCGCATGAATCTACAAAGACACATCAAACATGCGTAACAAGCAGAGAAAGAACAGGAACCTAAAACTTTTTCAGGTATGATCTACAAGTTGCATGAGAAGGAGGCTATTCAACAAAAACAAATCTTAAATTATTACTTATTCTTTAACACAATGTGTTCATCAAACAACTGTTTTCTTTTTCTTCCTCTCCCTTGTGGCTGCTGTATTGGAGGACTTTCAGGAAGCACAAAATTGGGAGTATTATCTGAAATGCAAGGTAAACAAAAGTAAACTTTTTGTATTTCTGGGATCAATATGCAACACAAGAGACATAGATATTCATGCACTGACCGACAAGAACTGGCACAGCTGGGGTGGTGCCCCCTTGAGACGTAGGTGGAGTTGGAGGATTAAATCGTAGCTGAGATGGTACAGACATCCTTTCAGGATCAAAATCATGAATCATAGAGTCATGAACTCTGTTTGGCTCAGCGTCATTGTCCTCAAGATTTGAAAATAGTGGAGGATTTTCAAGGTTGAGATCATCATTGGTGGCATCAAGACCAACCTCAAGTGCCTCGACTTGGGTTGCTTGTGGAGGACTAGGACCCAACCCCCGACGAACTTCAATGGGATCGACCGGGGTGGTTGCTTGTGGAGGACTATGTATGGTAGGATCCGGCTGGATAGTTGATGATTCTCTTTGGGTGCTTGGACCATCATCTGCAGCACCCACGCCTTTCAATGATGATGGAGACCGGGGAACAATGCTGTAAGAACAAAACAAGTACTATTGGTTCATAATCCCAAAAAGTTGAATGAAAAAGAAAAAATTAAAATACAGCTAGGGCTTACTCCTCCTCCATTGGAATAGGGCCAGTGTCATGCAGCACTTCTGTATGAGAAGAATCTATTACTATATCCTAAATAATAAAGAAAAATTAACAGTTTGAAAAGAAAAACACAATGTCACATAGTTACACAGTTGCCTGAAGGGAACAAGACTGCACCTCATCAAAAGATACAGTCACGTAATAATCTGTTGTCACAGGAATTCGATCTGCACATTGAGAATTATTAATTATTAACGTCCATCTGCTCACAAGCTTTCAAAAGGAATGAAATGAGTTCATAATCAAATTAGTCCGTAAGAGATAAAGGGCGTCATGCTAATCCCTTAAAAATGGAAACAATACTCAGGGTTCCCAAAAGTGTATTTCTTTTGTCAGATGGGTCCTCACATCACTAACTTTTCATTGATCAGCAAAATACACATACGAACTGCCCAATAACAAATTTGGCATCACTCAGTCCCCAAAAGAAAAAAATCACTGTTTTCGTAAAACATCCATAAATTTAGTCTTTTCCCAGGAGTAATTTACTTTTTCACTTTTGAAATACAAAAACAACTATTTCATGACCAAAATGTTACTTCAATCATGGCTGCATGACTGCATTTGTCTGCACACAATTCAAAATCCTAAGGAACAAATTCAATTGTTTATTCTAAAAAACTCAACCAATTATGTAACCTGGGAGCGTGATGTCTTCCAAATCCCTGGAGTTCCGATCCTCAGTCCTTAAAGAGACGCCCAAAAATCATCCATAATGTGATAACACAAATCAGACCACGAAAACTCAAAATAAAAAAAATAAAAAATAAAAAAGTGAAAACCCAAGAAAAAATTACCCTGTGTAATCTATTTGGTAGTCAATGTTCTGGGCATCGAGGTCGAAAGTCCCCGGCAGAGTCACCGATTGAAACGGCGCTGGCCCCACCTCCTCCGTCTGAGCAAACTGGAGAGAAGAAAACGCCTTGTGGAGACCCGTCAACGCGTCCTTGCAGTCTTGGTGAAGATACTCAACTTTCTTGGAGTATATCCGAACCACGCCAAGAAGAAGGTGCCCAGACATTCTGAGCGCGATAGGAACACCAGGGTCCATGATGCGCACTGAAAGAGCACAAGAAAAAAAAACAGACTAAGAACAAAAGTGTGGAGGTGAAGATGATTTGGGAAGGAAAAAAACGACGTCTTTTACTTACGAACTGTGGAGGGAATGTCGGTGGTGGTGTAGTGCGATTTCTTGAGGCGGTGCTGGAGGTGAGCGGCGATCCACACGGTGGAAAGTGGACCCTTTCGCGCCAAAAAGGTTTGAGAATAGAACATGGTAGTGTTCTTGAGATGTTTGATGGGACTAAGATTCGGGAAGATGGAGGAAGGGATTTTGGGTTTGGTTAGGGTTTGTGAAGTGATTGAATGCAATAGAGAAATGGCGGGAAACAACGTTTGGAACTGTGTAGTGGCGCGGATGTTGCCAGAGAATTACGGTGATGCGCAGTTTCCAGTTCTGTTGAAATGGCCTCATTTTCTCCCCTTATTTACAATGTCTGCCATCGGATGGATTCCATAACCTTACACTACATTTAGGAAAATGATACTTTAACAACATGTTTTAACAACATTTAGGGAAATGATACTTTATATCAGGTTAAAATCGACTCTTATTCAGACAGAATATGTTTCTGACAACATCAATATAACAAAAATAAATGTAAGATTAAGAAAATTAATGAAAATCCGAAATAACCTGTAATATATATATATATAAATCATGGAGTTTAGATTTTAAAAATGTTTTTTTATTTCTTTTACTTTCTATGTCTTAATATTTATTAATAATTTTTTTTAGTTTTTGTTTTATAAAAGAACTATCAATAAAAAATTATAATTATATATTATTATTTAAATATATTTTATTTTTATGTATATTTTAATCAAATTTTATTTTTATTTTGATTAAAATTTAGAAGTGTTTTCATTATGTAATTACAATATTATAAAAAAAATCCTTTCATAATTATTTTGTTGGAATGCAATTTTAAGACTTTAGTATGAAATTTAGTAATATTTTATTTTTATTTCTTTACTTTGACATTGGTATCAACTAAAAATGTAATTAATTATGATTTAATTGATTCAAATTCTGAAAAAATAAAAGTAGAAGTAATATTTGTAGTTGCATTCAGTTTTTCTTTTGTATTTGATTACTATTACTATTTCTATTTTCAACCCACTGTATAAAATAACCCTAAAATATAGTAACTTGTATAAAATAACCCTAAAATATAGTAACTTGTAATTATATTTTTGGAAAGAAAAACATATATATTTGCAACTATTATTGTCAGCTTTCAATTAAAATTATCAAAAAAATAATTATCGTTGTATTATTTAAAAAATTATAAAACAACTCATTAAATTTTAAAAGGATAAAAAAGTCATTTAAAAACTATAAAAGCTGGAGAAAAATGAAATATTGTATAGTTCAATATTTTGTTACTAATTTTATTGTTATTCGATTTTATAGATAAAAGGAATTTTAAAATTTTACTAATTGTTATGTAATTCTCTTATCTGAAACAAGATAAGACAACAAATTGAACGTCCATTTTTATTCTTGATTTCTTTTTGTCCAATTAATTTAATTACAAATTAAAAGAATTAAAGTTATCTATCATCTCAGTTTTTCTTTTGCTAAAATTTATAATTAATACAAATTATATAACTAAAATAAAATTCCATTCCTTTATTTAAAATCTCAATGAAAAAATATTATTTTAAAAATATTTTAAAAGGAAAAACATGAGACTAAACAAAATAAAACTTTTTCTACTAAAATCACATTGCCTCTTCTAACCATTGTACATCTACATTTCCGAATGTTTTATGATCTCTTGGTGTATAAAAATACGATCATCATAATCACACACAAACAAAAAATATGAACTAATATAAAAACAATAAATCTTATAATCGAAATTTACAACTAAACAATATAAAAATTACACCATATCTCTTAACCAACATTCTCCTTGATCCATGACCATATTTTATCTCAAAACATGTTTTCAAAACAACATGTTTTCCTTTAATATTGTTTTCCTATCTAAGTTGTAAATATGCAAGTATTCACAAAAGCTTTACATAAGGATTTTGATCATCATAAAAAAAAGGAGATTTTTAACAAGCTGAATTCAACTCAAAAGAATTTTGATGATGAAGTGCTTAAAGACAAGAGAAAATTGATGTTCAGTGGATTGTTTAAGAACAAAGCTTTTGTAATACTTCATTTGTAATAGTAGAATAGTTAGAATAACAATATGCAAAAAAAAAAAAATCAAAGTAAAGCATTATTTTAGAAACTCACTAGAATGATCAACTATAACTTGGGATAATCGATTATCCCAATTAAAATAAAAAACGGAAAGGTTCTCTAGAATAATTGATTATCACTTGGTATAATTGATTATCTCGAAAAAAATAACTTTCAAAATAATTCGCTAATAATCGATTATTACTTAAGATGATCAATTATCAACGACAGTTGCAAAAAGACTATTTGTCTTATGACCTAACGTCAAACAAATCCTATAAATACCTTGTTTATGAGCTCTTTAAACTTACTTAATATTTCTAAAAACTCAAGTGCTTTTACTTAAACCTCTTTGTGCTTTAAGTGTGAGTTTGTGAACTTTGTGTTGGTAGAAGGAAGTGTTAGTCTTAGTGCGTGTAAGTAAAAAGCATATATGTTGTAGCAAAGTAAACTTGTTCATTCTTTTGTGTGTCAAAAGGAAGTGTTATTCATATGTTGTCAAGAGCTCTAAACTTTTACTCAACTTTGTGTTGTAACAATTGGACGGAGGATCTTTTGATCTAAATTAGTATAAAAATCACTTGTTCAAACTTCTCTTTCCTTATACTCTTCCTATTTTATTTGCTTGTTTTGTTATGAAGTGATTATATGTATTGTTTTTTAAAAGAAAATATAAAAACTAATCCCCCCTCTTGGTTATTGTCCACCCACGAAACATTCCATTCACATTTTCTAACAGATAATGTATTAAGTTATTTGAATATAATGTTGTCATTGTTGAAAATACTTGTAAGAATAAATGTTTTGTGGATATGTAACTTGATGAGGAGATTATGCACGAGGTAAATTGAATTATTCAATGAGGTGTCATCAGGTATGAGAGTGTTATATCTGAATTGGATGTTGTGTTTGAATTGTTTGGTCATGTAATTCCTAATGAGGAATGGTATGACATGTTAGTCTAGTGTCATGCATTTACTAGGGACACTATTTGGAAGTTATCGTTACACTTTACTAGATTCACAAACTTATATAAAAGATTGAGTATAGGTGATGAAGAGGAAAAAAGGTTCTTATAGCTACTTATAGGGTCGTGGATCCCTTTTTTATTAAGTTATAAGTTAACTCATTTTTGTCATGAGAGAAAGGGACCATGTACCATTACTGAAATTGTAACATTGAGGAATTTCATTTTACATGACAAAGTTAAGCTTTTAGAGTCCAAGTGGATTTGTAAATCCAAATAATTGAGTCTGTGTCATATTTTTGTTAATGGATGAGAATAGTTTTGTGATGTGAATACTTGATACTTTGATTTAGATCTTTATATAATAATTGTATGTTAATGTCTAAGTTATCATTAGCTTACTCTCTTTTGTTTGTTGGTTGTTTGTGTCTCTTTTCCAATGATACTAACTAGTATGCTAAGGGACGTTCTTGGAGTTCTATGAAGGAATGTATATATTTATATGATGTAATGTATGTTTCACAGTTTTAAAGGATTTTAGTAACTTGTGTATTTTGAATAACCTTAGAAATTGGTGACAAGACTCTACTACACTTTATTATATGATTTTGCATACATTTCTTTTATCTTTGTAATATGTTTGCTTTATACTAAACTGGTAGGAACTCAGGAGAGTATAAATAGTCTATTCTCTCACGTTGTTACATATTTCATTCGTAAAATTAATTGAATTAATTTGATACATTTTTTTATAGGCTAAAATACTCTTTTGATCTCAATTTTTGTTGAAAATATTTAACGTGTTGCTTTTTTTTCAATTAAGTCTTAATTTTTTGTTAAAACAATTCAATTAATGTTTTTCGATTAAATTTGTACATATAGCATTAAAAACATGTCACGTGCCAACTCATTTTTTTATATGTGTCAAGTATATGTTATGTCATGTAAAACTATTAATGTCACGTGATAGTACCACGTGTCAATGTTATTCATGTCACTTGATAGTACCACATGTCAATGTAAGCGTCACTTGTCAATCCTAATTAGCATTGAATTTAGTATTTATATTTATTTTATTTAATTTAGTCTTAATTTTCTTATAATATAACAATATTGTCTCTTTTCAAGACATGGTTAAATTCAATTACTACAAAAAAAATTATAAAATTTGTTTTATTATTATAAATTATTTAATTTATAAAATTTATAAAAATACCTTGACTACGTGTATGTGAATAAAACACTTCCATTATAAAATAATATAAAATTAGAAAAATTATAATAAACATTTGTGATCACTTTTCAACCGTAAGTTAAAATACTATATTAATATAGTAGTGTAATTTCTAATTTACATACTAGAAACTAAAATAAAGAAAAAATATTTTATATTTATTAATATATGTAAAAAAGTAGTATATATTTATGAAATAAATATTAAATAGAAATAATTTTAATAAATATATAATAATGTCCTTTTTAAATGTTAATATATATATATATATATATATATATATATATATATAAAATTAATGTAGAAGAATATAACTGAAAAACTTCTACTGCAAAATAAATATTAATAAGTAAATTGAATTCAATTATATTTTGGAAAGAGACAATCATCTTCCATTTAAAGAAAGAAAAAATTAGAAGTAAATTGAATCACAAAATAAATATAAAAATTGAATTGAATACAAGGTAATGATATATGTGGTAACATATGACTCTGTTAAATTTCACACTCAAGATTTATGTACCTCGACATGACGATGATGTGATGACAACTCCACATCAACTAGAGATAAGGTCAGAGTATATGAGTGTTTGAGAAAAGAGAAAACAAGAACTCCAAAGAAAGCATAATTGTCAATGAATATCAGTAGTAAGTGTATTAGGTACAGCGGAAGCAAAGAATATATACAAAGAGGAAAATTGAAAAAGAAAACAGAATTAACAAAACTATTCTATATCAGTGTAACTGAACGGCTTCCGAGTGTCCACCGTTCGGTAATCTTCAGTCGTTCAGTAGTCCGTAGTCGTTCGGTAGTCTTCAGTCGTTCGATAGTATTCAGCTCTATGCAGCAGCTCGACATTTCGTGAAACAACAGTAGAGTGTGAATGCAAATCATACAACACAAACCCTTTGGTTCTAAATTTGTATCCAAGAAAAATGCATTTGTTGCTTCTGGAATCAAGTTTTGTGCAACCTGCA